AGGCTGCACTCCTACACCCACTTACCTGGGAGCCAGCTCTGCGGAAATCAGTGGGTCTTAATTCTGAGTATGCAAGCCTGGATCGCCCTGTCAGGGTTTTAGTATCTTCTCCTGCTTTTGTCAGACTCGCCTATCCCGTGCATCTGTACATCCAAACGCAACTTTCAGTTTATTAAGTAGCCGAGGCAATCAGAAAATGCTCATCTTGTTAATCCTTAAACTGCCATTTTGCATCTTTCCACTGTCTTGAAACAAACTGCAGAGCCAAAGATCTTGGTCTAAGACTCCCTTACAGTTCGGTCTCACATGAATGGAAAAAGTAGACATCCGTATTGCATCTACATTGGGATGGAGAAGATGGCACTAAAAAAGAGCAGGGACTGGGAGTCTATGGGAAAGGATAGGACTTGTAAGCCATTGTCGAATTTTATTTTCTGTTGTAAATGTTTAAAGTTACAGTATGCCACTCAGAGCATGTGGGACTGAGCAGGATAAAAATCCAAATAAATAAAATAAGTATTACAGTAGGGTCAGTTGAAAGACAAATATTTAAATTCATTTAAGACCTCCTGCTGTTATACTACCGAAGGAATAATGTTTTATTCCAGAAGGCCATGCTTTACCACCGACATGTGTCTGTTTATAGCACAAATATGAAAGGAATTAATTTACCTAATTAGACAAGAGAATCATCCATCCAAACTGAAGCAGTTCAGAAACTACACTTTCAACATTTTAAACAGAACGGATTTAAAAGTGATAACCATTTTGTGATAGGATAAGTCAATCAAGGCCTAACATGCCTGACTGTTTCTCCTTTCTGAACAGAGAGAGAGAGAGAGAGAGAGAGAGAGAGAGAGAGAGAGAGAGAGAGAGAGAGAGATAGGGCAAGAGCAAGAAGGGGGGGAGGAGGAGGAGGGGGAGGAAGGGATTCCTGCATGCGAAAAACTACAGGGAAATGGCTAAGCTAAGTACCCTCCAGATCCGTTGACCAACAATTCTAACCATCCCCATCCAACATGATCTTTAGCCAACCTGGACTGGGTTGGTGGGAGTTGGAGTCTAACTCATCTGGAGCATACCAGGGTGGGAAGGACAACTCAAACATCAACTTTCACTTAGAGGGATTTCTTTTATATGCAGGAACACTGACCTTTGTGGAACTCCACTTACAGTCCGAAGTGGTACGGCACACACAAGATTAGCATCTCTGCTGTCCCTGTGAAAACTAGGCTCAGTCTTTTCCACTTTATCGCACAGGTTAAACACAGACACAGAAACTGCATCAGAAGGGGCCTCCCAGGCCATCTAGTCTGACCCCCGGCTCAGCCAGCTCCACTCATGACATGCCCACCATGTGCATGCCCAGCCTGAGCCCCTGCTGCAGGTGCCCTAGCAGCCTAAGTTATCTACCAGAAAATTTACTTGGCAAAGAACCCACTCCTATTACAAATTCAGAAACAAGCAGATAAACTACAGAGGACAGGTCAATGTTGGACTTACAAAGAAGGCCAATGTTCCCCTGCACTAATAAAAAAAGACGGGCACCTACCGCTATCCGCACTTCACATACGGAGAGGGAGGCAAGCCAGCTTGCTATCGGGGAAGAACTTTCCTGGAAAACGTTCATGGCATCTTAGGGAAAGCCCACCCCAAAGTTCAAAATGCTTAGCTTTACTCAAAGTGTTGGTCCTACTTCTGTACTTAGACATCGCATTCACTCAGTAATCAAATGAAGATGTAGTTAACATATTCTTCCATGATTACACAAAAGAAGCCCTTTCAGAGGAGGAAGAACCAAATGTGAAAGAGGAAAAAGAAGAGTAACACATAAGCAGATGAAGATCTGAAATGTTGCAGATACAGCTATCATCTCATACCTAAACTAAGAATTGCAAAGGTGCTGCCACCCCTCTTCCTCACTAAGGTAAAAGCAACTTTCCAGAAATCTAGGATTTTTTTTTCCAAATTTCTGGGAATAAGAACTAATCATTATCATGCTGCCAAACTTTCTTAAATGTTGCTGAAGTTGACTCCAATATCCTGAAGCCACTGGTCAAGAAGAAGGCTGAGCCTGAGGAAGTTTACTTGCGCGTTATTTATGTCCTCCCCAATTCTCCCTGTTAAGGTCATAAGGCCTCTGAACCATCATGGCTGGATTGTTTTAGTGCTCTCTGCTGAACACCTGCAAACATCAAACAAAAACTGCTGGTCCTTTACAGCGTTGACAAAAGCCTTTCATGTGAAAAATGCACCCTGGGAATGTCAGGCCTTTGGCTCAGGTTACATTCCTTTCTCCCTTGCAGCCTCACAATTTCTTGAGACCACATTTGTAAAATTAAAGATTAAAGGAAATACAGGCCCGCTTTCTTTTCATTCACACATTACAAATCACACCAGATCACCCTGCATTAAATGAGCTGGTTAAAACACTCACAGACAGTCCTGTACATTTTATTTGGAATCTTCTGTTTTATAATGAAAATGTCAAGCCAATACACAAAACATGGATAACACTTCCATTAAATAAGTACCATTTTTAAAGGAGATATGAACCAATACCCAAGTTCTGTAGTCAAACCCTTAATACTGCATCTGCTCCCGTAGAGACAGCAAACCATATCCGAGTCTCAACTTACTGACCATAATTTATTAGCTAAACAGCACAGTTATCAATAAGCAAAGCCTAGACAATATGCCTCAGCAGTGCTGAGTTTTCATGCACCTACAAATCTCTTTGTTGAAATGTTATCTTGATGCTTTTTCCAAGCACTTTGTAGTACAATCACCTATCTTTGTATTTAGACTTTCATAACCACTACCCAGCTCAATTGCCAGAGTACACACTAGGAAACAATAATAGCAGGAAACAGTGCGTAAGTATACCTGCAGGTCACACGTTTTTCTTAGGATTTAGGACCAGTTTTATAACATACTGGATTCTACAACCTTCTCTGCCTACTGAATGTTCCATTTTAAAAGCCATTACCTACTTGCAAAAAAAACCAACCACCAGTTCCATAAAAAGAGTACTATTTAACTATACAAAACTCTATACATTCAGCAGGTTATAATCTCCACCATATATATTTTACATCCACCAAAAGCTTTTATTTAATTAAGAAAGATAGATTGGTTTCTCTTTATTTGACTTTTATCCAGTGATAGTGAAAGTAACACCTCATTTACATACATGGCTTACTAGGAAATCAGTCCACTAATTTCAAGTGAACTTGTGGCCTTGGGATGGCTTATAAAAAGAGGCATTGTTTTAAGATCTCCACAATTTCATTTTATTGCCCTGACTGTTTTTTGTGCTTCCTTCTTCTATTTCATTATTTGCATGTCAGACAAATATTAATGCAAGATGTTTGCACCGACCATACAATGATAAGAATGTTCATTTTTTCTCCTAGATTTTCAAATTATCTGTTTGGTATTGTTGATCAGCTGGCCTCATAGGAGACTATTAAGTTGGGAAAAATAAGCACGTCTTGCTAACACTTGCAAAAAACAATATTTAGGTGCAGCACCGATTGTATATCATTGAAAAAATTGATTTATCTGGCACAAATACTTTGCACTACTTTGACAGAGAAAATATATTGAATACTTAAAACTTTCTCTGAAATGTGCTATTATAAACAAACTATTTCAAAATAGGATAAATCCATGAAGGATAAGCCTTAGTAGCCTTTACATTGCACAGAATTAGGCAAGGCTTACAGTCAATAAAATGTATTTAAGAATCAAGGTGTACTCATATGCATTATTGCAATCTCAAATATCACTACACTGAAAGTATCACCTTGTATATCACATATCTTCTTTTTTTTTAAATTCTAAACACCATCAGTGAAAGTTTAATGATGCCTCAAAGGATACAGACTAACTTTAGTTATCGCTGTATTATCCTTTGAAATCTATACACAAAATGTTTTTGGGGAAAGGACTCTTAAGTTACAAAATATGTGCTGAAAATTGCACACTCTTAGTTTATTCCCAATACACTTTGACTCCAATCCTGCTCCATGAAAATCATTGGGAATTTTGCCATTGACTTTGCTAGTAGTAAGATAGTAAGCTTGTATAATCACTGGTAGCAAAATTTTAAAGGCTTGTCCAAAAAAGAAAAAAATGGTTCAGAGATGCTCTTTGTATAGAACTTTGAGCAGGAAACTGTTATGTGCAAATTGTCAAAATGTTGAAAACACTACAGCTGTTTTAATGTAGATTTATCTGAAGCCTAGCCAAAGAGCTACATGCAATATTGCAGGAAACACTGTGAAATGAAATTATTGGGGAGGGGGGGGATTAAAATGTGCACTTCCCTTTGCCAACCTGATGGAAAATGAATTATTCCCAATAAATAAACATCTTCTGTGCCTGATATTCAATTATTATATTCAGACGGTTGGGCATCGATAAACAGACCCTTTTCTTTGCTACATATATAGGAAACAAATACATATTTGCATTAATGTCAATAGACTCCTTTTCCAAAAGATGTAACAAGCATTAAGAAAGTCACAGTTGCAGAATTTTTCAAACTTTTTTTGTTCAGTAATACTGCCTAGACAGATTGCAGCATATCGCTAAACCATCCATCACTAAATCTTAATTCTTGGAATAAAATCAGGACTTTAAATCATGAGTTTGGGTAAAGAAGATAAAAGAGGAGTTACTCCTCTTTACAGGCATAAAAACAGCTACTGCTACCATGGGTTAGTTGGTCCCTCACATAATAAAAAGGAAAATATCTTTACAATTTTTAAATCTTCCAAACTTAGTTATGCTTAAAACTAACTCCTGTAAAATAACTGTTCACGTGAACTATATTTTTCTGAAGAAGAGGATATCAAACATGGCAACATGAAGAGCAGAAATATTTCACTTGCAATCTCCAAGACAGATTTATGCTACCAGATACACACACAGCAGACGTGGAAAAAAATACCTAAGGACACTTTAACTGCATGCCAAAGAGAAACTGTACATACTTGAGCCAGTAAAATGTCCACTTGCCAAAGAAGTTGGTCCATTTTTCCCACTGCTCACAGGAGGTGAAAACATCTAAAAGAAAACAAAGAGGCATTATTGTTGGTAAATAGGGTTTTCTCCTACATTTACTGATAGCTCAAATTTGAATCAACTTTATACAAAAGCTATAATGGCTTATTTAAATATGAAATATTTCCCATCTCAGCTTGCATAATGGTGCAGCATTTTTTACAGTCTACTTCCCATCCTTTTCTCTTTCTATCTTATGTTAGGTTTTACTCACAATGTAAGATTTGTGGTGGGAGGGACCTCGGGACCCCAGCCACAATATCAAGCAAGGAAAAAAAACCCTTTGGAAACACTTAGATTGACAAAGGTGAGGGTTAAAAGTTTGTGACTGAAACCTTGGTCATAAACGCAGCTATATCCATTTCCATCCCGTTTTAGGATGTCTGTCATACATGCACCCAAATAATATTAATGCAAAGTTCCACCTGCCCTAAATTTTCATCTCGGCTCTTAATGTGAGCACAATTTGAAGCAAGTCAGTCTCTCTCTCTCTCTCTCTCTCTCACTCAATCTCTCTCTCTCACTCTCTCTCTCTTTCTCTCCCCCTCTTTTTCTCACTCTCCAGCATTTATTTCAACCCTAATTGGTTTCCATCTTCTTCGACGTGTCTAGTGGATAATACGCACCTTCCCTGAGTCAGAGACTACAAAAAGCAAAGGAACAAATGGAAAAAGCACAGCTAAGAAAGTGGGGGCTGCAGACCCGCCTCAGGCTACGGTTCCTCGCCAAACTTCCCAAAGCCATTTCTCAGGAAAAGTCTAAAGGACAACGGTAGACTGAAATAGCACCCCCCCCCCTTACAAGGTGGGTTTTAATTTTTTCTCCTCCCAACACTGAAATTATTTAAAGACACAAATGCATCCTACGTCAAATTAACTTAACTTGGTTCTCCCCCCCCCATGAATAAAGACTTCTGACATATTGGAAGAAGGGGGGGTGGGCAAGAAAAACAGGGATGGGGGAGGAGAGAGAAAAGTGGGGGGGTGGAGGGGGAATAGAGCACTAAGCCACTGCCCAGAACATGGTTATTATTTGGCCTTAGAATTAAAGCACATTTTAAAAGCCTAAAGATAAAATAATTTTGAATTAAAAAGAACAAACACACGCGGGCACACGCCACTAGCCATCAATGGAAGAGGGAGGGGGTTCTAAAGGAAAGTTGCAACACATTCATTGATAAAACAGAGCAATCCGAGATTTCAGAGAAAACTTGAAACTGAACTAGATCTGGATTTCCTTTCACTTTTCATGTGCCAAAAAATGAAACAAGGGAAGAACTAAGAGCACACTATAAGTAACTGATTAGTTGGCATGAAAGCCATACTTTCAGAATGCAATGCACAATATTAAGTCACTGTTATTCATGGAGAATGATGGCCAATATCCATAATTTTTATAGAGGATGTGTGGGTTTATTTTGGGACAGGACATCAAATGATAAGAGCACATCCCAGTAAATTGCAGACAATATTCCATTTCCTTTCTGATAATTTAGCAAGATTCTAATTGATAAGTAATACGAGTAATAAAGCGTGCATATTTACCATGGGTCTAGCTGCTGATTAAAAATTACTTCATGTATTTAAGCTCACAGTTTTTGCTTTGTTTTGATTTAGTTTAACCGACTTTTTGGTTTTTGTTGGGTTTTTTTTTTTACAGCTGTTGTTCATTTCCACCATTGTTTCTTACCGCACTGAAATCCAGTAAATCACTGAGTTCTTTGTCCGTCCCTAAGGCAGCCATTCGCTGTTGGTGATGCATTTTAGCAAACTCACACAAACCTAGAAACATGGAAATAACCGCAATCAGAAACCCAGTCCCGAGCCTTACAGGAAACAACAATCCGATTTTTTTAAATGAGTAGGGGAGGGGGAGAGAGGGGGAGGAGGGAGAGGGGGAGAAGATGGGGGGTAGCAGCAACAACGAGGAAGAGGACAGGAAAGGCGACATTGGAGTTCCAACGAGCCGCGGGAGACCCAGTGATCGGGGGCACTCTAACCCCAAATCTGGGAGAGAGAGACAGACAGACAAACAGACAGACAGACAGGGGGAGAGAGAGAAAGAGGCGCCGCACTCTTCAGCGCACGGTTTATGCAACAGGAGGTTCAACCAGGAATGAATGAAAAGCCCAGAGCTGCAACTACAGCCATCCGCTCCTAACTTTTTAAATTTATTTTGCATCTATCTCCCTCCTGCCGTGCAAAGTCAGTTGCAGGTTCTTTTATTTCCAGGCGGCCACGAAGTCTTTAGGGTGGCGCACAAGGGTCTCGATGAGGTGCAAAGAAGGGTGGGGGCAAGATGCAGAAGATGGACGGGCAGCCCGGGGAAGGCTGCCGTGGGATGGGGCAAGAATCCGCCTAGATGCCTCTTCTGCTGAAACGGCATAAAGGTGGGGGTGTGGGGGGGGGCGCAGAAAGGCAGAGTTAACCCACGACAATGAGATCTCTACTGTAGAAAGGTAACCGAGAGACCGAAAGTAACTAACTCCACTAAAGGGCATCTAAGGGCCCGCTCGCGACAAAGTCATCCGTTTCTTTAAAGCGAACCATTGCAGGGGTGGAAAAGGCCGTGGCAGCCCTATGCCCGGCTTGCAACCCATTGGGGGGGGATCCCGCGTGTTTAAAGGAAGCCGCCGCCAGCTCTTGTCCGGGATCCTTTCATTAGTACCACACAACTAACTCCAGGCTAAAGACATCGAAAGAGGAGGAGGAGAAGCGGGGGAAGAAAGGGACACCTCCGGTACCTACCGGCCGACAGAGGAGAGAAGGGGCTCCCTTTCCGACCACAGCCCCGAGCTCTGGGTTTCATTGCTCGAAATCACTGCATCCACCAACCGCACATACACCACGCAGGGAAGAGAGAGCGAGAGAGGCAGAGATGGGAAGCGCGGAGGGGAAAGGGACCCCGCTGGCGCCGCGCAAAGCTCTCCCCGGACTGGAGCGGAAAAAAGGAGAAGGGAGAAGACGCGGCGGCGGAGGAGGACGCCCTGATTCCTAAACCAAACTCTTTTTTCCTGCCTTAGGGGAAAGCGGGAGCGAGAGGAGGAGGAGGGGGAAGGGGAAAACACACACGCACACCCCCAGCGCACGCACACGAACAGACCCAAAGAAGCCGGACTGCAAGTTCAGCAAAGCAAAAGGGGAGCCCGCCACGGCGCGCGCCGCCACGCTCCCCCGGCGTCGGCTTCGCCTGCCCCCGACCCAGGCGCGGGTTCCCCCCACCTTGCAGGAAACACACACGCAGAAAGGGAGAGATACAGATAGGCGAGAAAGGCAGACGGGCACCTCGGTTTCTTCCATGCCCCCGATCATGTCGCTGGGAAGCTACCCAGGAGTTGCCTGCGCCTTGGCGTCCGCCCGCCTCCCCCTCCTTCGCCCAGCACTTTTAAGATTTATTATATAAAATAATCGCGCGCGCGCACGCAGACAGTGGCACAGGCAAGCCAAGCAACTTTATACTCCGCTGCAGACGCACGTGATACAAAGAGTTCGTCGGGGGGTGGTCAATATTTTCTCCCTCCCCCCCCCCAGCCACCACCATCCCCTTGTTCAGGGCACTTGTTTCAAAAAAGAATTCTCGGGTGCGTCTTCTGTTTTCAACGTTGCGTAAAACTGCGTTTTACAATCTGCATTTGCCGAGAGGGCGAGCAGGGCTGCAAACTTTTTCAAAACGGAACATTCAAGTGCGGGGTTTTGTTTGTTTGTTTGGGGCTTGGTTTGGTTTTTTGCACAAACAAGTTTTCTGGAGACTATGCCAGCCTCCTCCCCTTTGCCTCCCCCCCCCCCAACTTCTCGCCAGCTTGCCCTGCTTGCATTGCAAAATGCTGCTACAGGGCCTCACAGTCCTAGCTTTCCCCCTCCCGGCAAGAAACCCAGATGGATGCTCCTTTTTGAAAGAAACCAAATTAAAGACTTGGTAGTGGCACGAAATATCTCCCAGCCCATGCCCTTAGAGTTACTCCATCTATGCTTTTTTGTTAAGTGTGTGAGCATTACTACAGACACAGTGCGCTTCAATTCGCATTGCCCTGGTCGTTCCGAGTTTAAAATACACAGGGGTCAACAGCATCATCATTATAGTTAAAGAAGAAGAAAAAAAACACTCCAAGAGGAAATTAGCACTTTACCTTAAATGGCCACAAATATGTTCACAATATTCCAAGGAAAGATATTTTAGGGGAAGAAAAGAGAGAAATCTTCTCCAAAGGTGCTTTATGATCTCACGTGTGTTTAACTCTCAAAAATAGAAGAAGTACTTTTAACTCGTACTCAGTCTTGATCCAGAAAATATTCCATCAATTTAAAAGAACTCTACACCGGGTGAGGGGTTTGGCTTGGTTTTGGATTATCCACCATCAAAGTCTTCCCACCCCAATAAAGCAAAATTAAAAGCCAGCCAAAAAGAGGAAAAAATCGCAACAAAAATGAGAATACAAAAGGAAGATCCAGGAACTTTCCCTCGTGTCTTTCGCTATGCACACATGGCTGCTAATAAACTATTTTCAAAAATCTCGGTGGCACTGCGAGCCCCCCTCGTCTTTATTTTTGTTTAAACCGCCCCCGCCAGCGCCACGAAAAAGTCTTAAACTTGTTCCAACTTTACAGAGCTCTCCTCCTTATCATCATCACCATCACCAGTGACTCCCCCACGCAGAAATTGATAGTAATACGTTTCCCTGAAAGATGCATTGTAATCCATTCACATCCGGGCAATGCAGTGGTGCTTATAAAGAGAAAAAAAGCTGCTGCCGCCGCCGCCGCCGCGGCTGCTGCGCGTTGCTGACTCCGGCCGCGTCGTCTGTTACAGAGCATGACGACAAAAGGAGGGAAGGAGGGAGCGAGGGAAGGAAGGAGGGAGGGAGCGCGGCGAGCATAGAGAAGTAAACAGCCAGGCTAGAAAGTCCTCCAAGATGGAGGGAGAGGAGGAGGAGGAGGAGAGGAGGAGGAGGAGTGAAGGCGAGCTGCAAGTTCAGTTCCGTGCCTGCTGCACGCGCGCGAGCGGCCGCTTGCGAAAAGTTTGCACGGTGGCCTGGCGCTGCTTTGTGCTGAAGCGCTTTGCAAACGGTGCAAGCATGCGAGCGAGCAAAGGGGAGTCGGAGTCTCTTTTCTGCCCTTGTTCTTCATCTTTCGCCTGAGTCTCGCGGTTTTCCCTAACGGAGACCTGGGGGTGAGCTGTGGGGCGCTTCGGGGAGAAGTTATGCGGGTGCGCCTTTGTCCGTGCATGCAAACAGCTGGCACGTATCCTCTTAAAAGTGGCTTTCTCCTAGGTGTGGAAATAGGAAGGGGGGGTCTCTTCTAAGATGGTCTCTGATTTCCAGTTTGTGGAACTTTTTGTACTGACAACAGACAATACAAAAGGATAAGCAAGTCCCTTAAAATGTAGTGCTCATAATTCTCCTGCTTACAACCTCCCTAACATCCCTTTTCAGCCAATATTATTTGTTGCCTGAAAGCCATCGGTATGTATTTTCCCACCAATCCTTTTCTGAAGTTAGGGGCATTAGACAGTATTAATACCTGCCCCTCTGCTTCCCATAATACACTCATGCTCTTGTTCCCAGCAGAACAGTTTCAGCTTAGGACCTGCCTCTGGATGCTCTTTCTCCCAGAGGATGTTGCCGAACTGCTAAGATTTGCTTCAGGGGCTCTTCTCTGGCTGCTTCTTTCCGCACTGGTGTGATGGATAGCTGCCAAAGAGACGGCCTTCTCTGTGTTGGCCCCCCCATCTCTTTTCCCAGAGAGAACTATTTATAATGCATTTATTCACCGTATACATTCAGATGTCAAGAACTTCACCATGCAGCAGGCATTTAATTTTAATCTACTGCTTTAATTATTCATTAAATTTAATCATTAGTTATTTGCTTAATTATGCTTTGATTTTTAATTTTGCTACCAGCTCCAACATTTTAGGGTGCAAGTCTAACACTGCTAAGTTCTACAGGGCTATTTGCTTACTAATGAACATTGCAACGCAACCTTACATACAAAATGAACCTCTTTTTATCACAATCAGATAACAAAACAGCATGAACAATTATAATAACAGAATACTACAACCTGTGCACCCAAGTACCTGGCAACAGCACCAGTACAAAATCTGGCTGTACAGCCACAAAGTTCAAATGTCCTTTTGAATCCAAACTCAAACAAGAGAATCCAAAACATCTTGTTCAACTGGTCCAAATATCCACAACACAGATGAGTCAGCTCCATGTGCAGAATCCTCAAAACCCTGGAATAAAATGCCAGTTCAATTGTATATCCATGAATTCGCTGTGTGGATTCACCCCCCGCAACACAAACATGTAGGAATTATACCTTGACCATGTTGGCAAGGGCCTTAGCAGCAACAGCCACTCTTGCCTCTTCAGTTTTCCCACAAATTTGGTTTCAAATTTCTTACAGCCCCACTCTTTAAGCCCCACCCCTTTGCACTGCACTAATATTTCATAGGGATTACACACCCTTGCCTGGGAGGCCAAAGGGTTCTTTACAGGCCTTGCTCCAAGAAACTGTGACCCCAGAACTGGAACTCCAAAGGCAAAAGAACCACACTGGTTGCCCCATCCAAGATTGAAACAACCTCAAAGAAGGCAAAAGGGGTGGGCAGGGGGGTAGCTTATAGCAGTTTTTGTTGGAGCCCCAGTATCCTCAGTGCTGCCCCTCTGGTGATTTATCTTGAGCTCCAAAAAGTAAACATGTGGAGCAACTCTGTGCAGTATGGCAGAGACCTCTATCGCTACGCTTCCCTGCTGTGATTGGATGCTCTCAGGGTGATCAGATTACACCGTTAATATAAATGAATGTATTATTATGTTGATGCTTTCACTATTATATTATTGAAATTGTTGACATTGCGTGGGGGATTTTATTATTGTCTATATTGTGAATGCATTTCCTAACAACAATAAATTATTGGAGGAGAGAGCATGGCCAGCAATAAAGTTCAAAGGCCTACTATCCGTGATTAAACTGTAGGAAAAGCTATGTATTTTAAGGGACTGTATTGCTGTTGTTTCTTGTACTTCACAATATACAGAAATAAAGGTGCTTCTGCAGAATAACCACATTTAAAATAAGGGGGAAAGGAGCAATTGACTCTCCTCCCTACTTTTACATCCTAGACATGGATGGCTTTTTGTCCAGTCAAATTTAGCTCTCGTACATGCCCAGCTTATCCAGGAGACCTCAGCAGCTGAAAAACATCATCCCCAGGTCCAGGGCATTCTTCTAAAGAAATTTTAGGAATACAGATGTTGCTCTTGGGTGTTTTCAGATGGAGCTCCTAATGGTAGCAGTCAGGAAGTATTGGAGAGGTGTTGCCCGGATTCAGACAATATAGCAAGCCTTGGTGTGTTTTTACCATTGTTAGTCTGCCATGTTGTCCAAATCCAGTTGTGGTATTTCACCATGGTAAGTTTGGTGTTTAGAAACACGATGAAAACAGTGGTTCCGTGATTTCTCCAAACCACCATCAGCTGTTGCAAAGTATGAACCCAAGACTGTGGTTTCCATGATCCTAGTGCGCAGCAATCACAGAGTATTCTGAACAGAGCCGTTCATCTAGGACCCTCGCTTGCTATCCAGCCTCTACGTGGGGACCAATGAGGAAGAAGCAGGTGACAGGCAGGGAGCAATGCACCTTGGGATTGCACAGTGGCAGATGGGACCAATGGGGAACCTAAGGGGAAAGATGGAAACCATAATATCATAGAAACCACTTGATCATCTGTCAGGAGGTAGTTCATGCTAAAAAAAAAAAAAAATGAATTGTGAGAGCCACTCAGGGTTGTTTGTTGCATCATGTGACTAACACTTTCTCTCTTCCTTCTCAGATTTTCCCCAGTAAGAAAGAAGATGCAAGATATGCTGGAATAACACAGGAAGGGAAACTCAAAATGGCTTGACCTGCTTCCCCTGGCCCATAAAATTTTGCAAATGGGGCAGATGATGGTGGTTATCCTAAGGAAACTTAGGACTGGGAATAATTTTCTTGGTTACTCTGAATAGATTTGTTTGTTCTTTAATTCATTCAAATTGTAGCCTGTTTTTTCATGATACAAAGTTCCCAGGGTAGTGTATAAAACCTATAGTAATTGATAAATTCATTTAACAAATAGACCAATGCATTTAACAAAAAGCATTAATAAGGGAGAACTAAAAATTTATTGGGCCTGATATTTAAGGAATATAGCTATATTTTTTAGTAAAAATCACACACGTGCGCATGCACACACATCTCATGGGTATGTATGAGGTTTCTCTTGCCCAGCTTGCAAAATTGCACTGGGGTTATAGGAAATCCATGATCCAAAAAAGTATTCAGGTATCAAAGAAAAAATAGGGCAAAAAGAAGTTCACAGTAGTGAGACAATCACACTATTGGAATCAGTCCCACTCATGTTTAGTATTCCTCTCCTGAATCATTTACCTCAGCCAAACAACTGAGGATGATGACAAAACTGTTTTAGACCGGTGTGTTTGTCACTGATTTCACTGGTGGCCTTCAAAGATTGCCTCTATTCTGCTGTTTTTTGCATTCCATGGTTTTAAGGTATTATTAATATGCTGACTTGAAAGGCATCCTCAATTTTTTGATGGGGTAGAGGTTTTAAGATAAATGCAATTGTCTAGGGCATGGGTCTTCAGACTACGGCCCGTGGGACAGATCCGGCCCGCCATGCCGATTCATCTGGCCTGCGCCACTGTCCCCCCGCCCCCCCCGCACGTGTGCTTGCCACGCAGGTGGGAGGTGGCAGCTGGCTCGCTCGGAGATGGTTTTGAATTCGCTGGGAGATCTCCCAATGAGTCCAAAACCACCTCCGAGCAAGCGAGCCTCTGCCTGCCTTCCCCATGCACGCACACGCGCTGCTGCCTTGAAGCACAGGCTGGAGGCAGTGGCTTGCTCGCTCAGAGATGGTTTTGGACTCGCTGGGAGATCTCTGAGCGAGCGAGCGAGCGAGCGAGCTGCCGCCCCGTGCACCCAACGCCACCTCACGCACACCTGACAGTGCCTCACCGGCCCGCACGCCCAGCCCCCCTCCTCACCGGCCCGCACATGTAGCTGCTGCCTTTCAACTGGCCCCCTATTGAAAAAGTTTGAGGACCCCTGATCTAGGGTGATTGTGTGCCCCACTTTTTAAGGAACAGGCCTGAAAAGTCCATTGAACAACTGTCTTTTGGCCACTATTTATTTATTTAGATTCCACCTTTATTCCTGCAAGAAATCCAAGGAGGCTTATGTGATAACTCATTTTGTCCTCAAACCACCCTGTGAGGTAGATTAGGCTAAGAGTCAGTGACTAGACCAAACTCACCCAAGCAAGATTCAAGGCCATGGACACTAGAACTCAGATCTCCTGAATGCTGGTCCAGCACTGTAAACCCTTTACCACATCATCTCTGTTTTTGTACGTAAATTCCATTTGACAGCTAGTTCAGATGTGCACTGAAATTATACACCAAGGAACTGGGATATTTTTAGCATTTTATTCATTTATTATAATTATATCCTGTCTTTTTTCCTGTAAGGAACCCAAGTAATTTACATGGTTCTTCTCTGTTTTATCTCACCTTGTGAGATAGGATAGGCTGAGAATCGGTGAGTTTCATGGCCAAATGGAACGCAAACCTCTGAGTTCCCATGTAGCACTCTTACCATACTGCTGCACTGATTGAAAGGGTTCACATGTCACAGCAAGCAATGCTGCGTGTTTCCATGGTGCACAGTATTTTTGCGTGGATGTGCCTAACAGGTGATTACATGATTAACCACACTAGTGTGGTTTCCACCCTCCTCTGGCTATTGGCATGTATCTCATTAGCCACTTCTCCTGAAATGCAATCCCACACTGTATGGCTGGAGCAGGTCCTGGAGGAGATCCTGCTCTTCCCAGGAGATTCTGCGGTATATGCATACAGGGCCCATGGAAACCAAAATGCTGGGTCTAGATGAGCAGAGAAACCACGGTGAAGTGTGAAAAACATAGAACAGACCATTGTTTATATGGTTTCTAAAAAACAAACATACTATGCTGAAACACCACATCAAACAACACAACAGACCATCTTGTGCAAGAAACCACCATGGCTTGGCTTGGCTTGTCACGTACACCCACCCATTCATTTCTAGGCAATGTAGTTCCTTTCTTTGGGAGATCCATATGGCCACCCTAGCACAGTTCCTCTAATACTGCGAAGGGTATATCCTGATGGCCTTGATAAGCTGCAGGAGTTGGGCAGATCACTGCTGCAGTGTAAGAAAATGTAATCCCTTGTCTGGTTTCCATCGGTCAATTCAAGTTGTCCAGTTTCCTTCCCTTGAGCAGCAATCAACGTTTTTTTTAATGCGCTAGGTCCTGAACAGGTGTTCTGTCTCTTGTCTTATCATTTCAGACACACACAAAATGTGGTTATTAGTGATGTGTATATCCCCCTTTGCCTCCAAGGACATCTTTGGGACATCTTTACAAAGGCTGACCTGTTGCCTACATTTTCTCAGGAATTGTTGTGTTTTCGGTATTGTTTTGAAATGTATTTTTATGTGCTGGAATGGTTTTAACCATCGCTGCTGGTGCTATCTTAATTTTATTCTGCCCTGTTGTTGTTTTGGGTTCTAGTGTCTGCATTGTATTATTTACTGTACTGAACACTACCTAGAGAACTTTTGTGGTTGGGTGTTTAAAATCTATATTAGATTATGAAATATACTGATGCATCTTCAGCTTTGTACCCTATTTATTTTCACAACAACCCTGTGAGTTAAGTCAGACTGAGAGACAGAGAATACTCCCATCACTCGGTGAGCTTTAAGGCGAAGTGGGGATTTAAGCCTGGGTCTTCCGAATCCTACTCTGTCACACTAACTTCTCCCTACGCCCAACTAGCAGATGACTGGCAGGGCTTCTCTTTTCTTGTACATTCCTTCAAACTGTTGTCACCTCTCTGACCTAGACACACAACTTTTAGGCCTGTTCTATACATGCAACAGAATGATCAGGTATTCCTGACTGGTTATGCTGAAGTGGAGCATTGCAATGAACAGGCTGTCCCTGTAATTTTGGACTACCTACTCTGCAATAAAACAACAAGCAACTGAAAAGCTAACATACCAAGGAGAAAATTTACCTCACCGAAGGGTTGTCAGCAGCCAGTCAAACACAACTGCAGGGCCCTGTGCAGAATTTCAGCCTGCTAGCCAGTTGCCAAAAAAGGAGAACACAAAGCTATGGGGAAAACAGGCCTTTTAAAGAATCTGATAGTTGCAGATGTCTAGTAATGGCATTGTTGCTGCATGTTTTGAACATCTGAATGATCATATTTAAAACTTTATTTAAATACTGGTTTGAACATCACAAAACAACACGGCTCTTTCCATGTCCCTAAGGGAGTTCTTTACAGCATCCCCCCGTACCATGGTGGGGTTTGGCTCTAAGGGAAGATCCAGAAGAAATTTGGCATGAAACTTTCCTTAAGAAATAAGCAAACAAACAAAACAAACTTGTAGTGGGCCTGTTCATGCTCCTGAGCATGCCTAAAGTTAGCTCTTTGGTTGACAGATGTAGCTAGTTAGTTATATATTAAATGTATTAATAACCTTTCCATTCAAGAAGAAAAATCCACAATGCGCTGCCAATAAAAATACAACGGTACCTTGGCTCACGAACGCCTTGGCTCACAAACAAATCAGGTCACAAACAAAATTACTGAAAATTTTTTACTTGGGTTGCAAACACCGCTTTGGGTGGCAACCAAGATCACAGCCATCTTCCCCCAGCCCTGGTGGGGAGATGGCCGTGATCGCAGTAGCTTTCGTGCAGGGAAGGCATCCGTGATCAGAGGCACGCGGCTGCAGGAAAGACGGGCGGAATCTCAGCCACCTCCCACGCGGCTCTGCTTTGCTGCTCCCGTCTTTCCTGCAGCAGCGCGCCTCTGATCACGGACGCCTTCCCTGCACGAAAGCAACTGCGATCCGTGATCAGAGGAGCACAGCTGCACTAGGGATGGGAGCAGCAAAGCAGAGCCACGGGGGAGGTGGCCGAGATTCCGCCTGTCTTTCCTGCAGGAGGGCACCTCTGATCAGGCACACCTTCCCTGCACGAACGGAACTGCGATCGAGGCCCTCTCCCCACCCCCAGCGCACCGTTTGCGCCCCTCTCTCCCTTCCCTGGTGCGCCCACGCTCACGCCCGTCTCTCCCCTCCACCCTCCAGCATGCTGGGACGATGGGCACCTGCAGGGATGGCAGGCGTGATCTCAGTTGTGCTGAGGGGGCAGCGGGGAGATGGCTGCGATCTTGGTTGTTGTCACTTTGCTTCACATTGTTCGGATTTAAAAAATGGTTACAGAACAGATTAACCTTATTTACATTGAACCTTATGGGGAGATTTGACTTGGGTCACGACCAATTTGGGTCATGGCCAGAGTCCTGGAACGGATTAAGTTTGTGAGCCAAGGTACCACTGTATCTCATACACTAAAACAAAAGAAATTTTTAAAAAAGCAAACACCAACACAGAGATTAAGAATGAGTTTGAAAAGCAAACAATAATAAATAAATTCTTAATTCTGTGTTGCCCCAAACTCTTCTACAGGAAGGCTGCCTCTTTTTCAATTGGCCCCTGTTGCTTAGCTTGAAAGAGGGACTTGATTTGCAAAACTTACTGTAGCAGGTAAAATATTTCATGGTATGATATAAAGATTCTATCACCTATTCATTGCTTCAGATCAAGATACTGCTAAAGGTTTTCATTTGACCTATACACAGGTCAAATGAAAAGCTGGCAAGAGCTTTCCCATGCCAACCTTGGGCTTGGGACCAGAGTACTTGAAAGACCACTGTAATGGTTTAAAGTGTTATGAGCCTGTGAGAAGGGCATGGGCAGGGCAAAGGGGGATGAGTGAGTGAGCTGATTGGTTGGTGGCTGAAAGTGTGTGGGCGGGGCTTGAAGAGAGTAATGAATACTTTTCAGCCTGTCAGCAGTTGCTAGGCAGAGTTGTGATGAGTCCGTGACAGACAGAGTCCAAAGAGGC